AGACTCACGTATGTGGGCGTGTCCAGGCTGTCAGAGTTGATCACCACAGGAGGAGGATTGGCCTGAGGACAGAAGAGCTGAAGGTCAAAGGTGAAGAACAGTTTTCTGAGAGGACCAGGACCAGAGAACGGACCCAGAACTGGTCCACATGTGCTGTTTTAACCAGTTAAGCTTCTGTTTTCTAACATCTGGTCCGGGTCAGAACACCGGGTCAGTACTGAACCCTGACCCCAGTGAACGGAAGACGACCGTGTGTGAATAGTTAGTGTTAGAGCAACAACGACAGGGTTGGGGTTAGACTGGCTGTGGAGCTGAGGCTAACACAGGAGCTAACACAGGAGCTAACACAGGAGCTAACGCTAACACAGGAGCTAACACAGGAGCTAACACAGGAGCTAACACAGGAGCTAACACAGGAGCTAACACAGGAGCTAACACAGGGGCTAACACAGCAATCAAAAAGTGAAGCATGTCATAAGGATAAATAAAATAAAAAGTTTCTTCCATGGCCAACAGAGAAGCTACAGCTAACAGAGAAGACGAAGCTAACAGAGAAGAAGAAGCTAACAAGAAGATGAAGCTAACAGAAAAGACGATGCTAACAGAGAAGCTACAGCTAACAGAGAAGACGAAGCTAACAAGAAGATGAAGCTAACAGAAAAGACGATGCTAACAGAGAAGCTACAGCTAACAGAGAAGACGAAGCTAACAGAGAAGACGATGCTAACAGAGAAGACAAAGCTAACAGAACAGCTTAATCAACAGCCCCGTCTTCAAACCCCACTTCCACTTAGCTCATTTTTTAAACCATCTCAAAAGTCTAATTGAACGACTGCAGGACTGTCAGCACCCCCTGCTGCTAGAACCAGAGAAGTGTTTTAAACTTCTTTCAAGTTTATCCCAGTTTTGCTTCCACCTCTGAGGGTTTTCTATAAAGTGTTTCTGGGAACCAGCGTCATGATCCCAGTCCATCAGAACCAGAGCGCCCCCTGCTGACCACATCAGTACCTTACTGAAGGCAAAGGGAACCCAGGGAATCTGGCTGCCGCCGATGTTGACCTTGGCCGTGCTCCTGGTCGGACTTTTCTTCACACTGTCACGCAAATTCAGGAACCGACTACGAATGCGACAGGAGGCGGGCACGGTGGACAGAGAGGCCCGGACCGGGGGTGGAGCCGGGGCCGGGGTCGGGGCCGGGGCCGGCTGCTGCTGCTGCTGCTGTTGCTGGTGCAGCAGCTGGATGGCGTGCTGCCTCTGCAGTGGGTGGAGGTGGTATATGGACTCCTCCACGTCCACGGCGGTCTTCTTCTTGGAGCTGAGCTCCGGCCACGGCCGACGTGTGGTCATGACGCTCCGTCCTTCAGAGCTGAAGACTGGGCTCCACGGCAGCTGACCCTCTGTGGCTGAGGCTCCGCCCCCTGTCCCTCAGGCTCCACTTCTTCTGCTCTGCTGAGCGGGTCACATGTCAGCAGTACTGGGACATGAATAATCAATGTGGCCCCCCCGGACTGAGGCCCAGCACTGACGCTGTCCAACACGTGGGGCAAGATTCACCTTTGAACCAGAGCAGAACCAACTAGACCCTGACCTCCGACCTCCGTCAGACCAGTACCAGTACCAGTACCAGTACCAGTACCATGGCTGTGACGGTGAACATCCTCCTGGTACCGGTCAGTCCAGCCGCAGCATCACTGGTTCTCAGTAATGTGTCTGTTCTGCATCTTTAGATTTGTTCACGGACAGATGTGAGCGTGCACGTGAGTGTGCACGTGAGCGACAGTAAACAGAGGCACCGCAGCCTGTCAGCAGCCAGGAGGTTGCTAGGCAACCACAGAGAGGACGAAGGCATGAGCTGCTGCTGCAGAGGGTTTCTGCACATCTGTGCACGAGCACACGCACGTGCGCACGCACGCACGCACACACACACGCAGCGGTACGACTCCCAGCAGTTCTCGTCTCACCTTTAAAAGGACACATTTTCATTCCTGTTCATGAGAGGCGGGAGGTGGGGGAGGAGGTGGGGGAGGAGGAGGTGACCTACCAGGAGGCGACGGTGGAGCCTCTTGGTTCTCCTCAGGGTGCCCATGATGCGGCGGCCCATCTTTTTGGCATACCACACAGAGCTGAGCATGATGCTGCCGCTGCTGAGGAGGAGGTGACGGAGGTGACGGAGGTGACGGAGTCGATGTATTACCTCCTCCAGCTCCTGCAGCTGGAGAACGGACGACTGGAAGGTTAGGATTCAAGGAGCTCCTCCTCCTGCTCCTCCTCCTGCTCCTGCTCCTCCTCTCAGACAGAGGGAGCGAGGCTGCAGAAGGAGCTCCTCACTTCACCAGCAGGTGGTGTCGACAGACTTTCCTCCAAAAACATTCCTAACAGAAACGGCTTCAGTCAGAGGCAGCACGGAGGAGAACAGGAGGAGGTGCTGAGGGAGCAGGCATCACTGCAGGAGGAGCCCCAGACTGAGCCTCGACCCTGCAGCAGCGCCCTCCTCCTGTAGGGGGAGCCAAGTGCTCCGCTGACCTCCGTCCCACTCCAGTCTTCAGACCACACTGACAGCAGTTCAGGTCTGGGGGGGGGGCGGGGGGGGGGGGGCCCCCACTCTGGTCCTGACCTCTGACCTGGGTTCACACCACGTATTTGGATCAAAAGACAGGAACTGAGACCTTAGTGGATCCAGACAAACACTGGAACCAGGAACCGTTGAATTAGTGGAACAAGGTTTGGTACCGGGTTTCCTCAGTGCTGACACCTGGTGGCCACCTTTCTTATTTTTTTTTTTAATGTTCATTTAACCTGCTAAAAAGATGTGAGGATGAAAGAGCTTTAGATCAGCATCACAGAGGTCAAAGGTCAAAGGTCAAAGGAAGACACAGATCAGACAGCTGGTGATGGACGGACGACTGACGAGGGCTGGGTTTACCTGTCCTGTCAGGGAGGGGGTGGAGGAGCAGGAGGGGACGGGAAGCTCCTCTCCGTTGGGGTGGAGGGTGGAGGAGGAGAAAGTGGGAGTGGCCAAACCTGAGGCCTCAGAACCGTCCAGGACACGGTCCACAGACAGAACCTACAGAGGGCGGGAAGGAGGCGGGGTCTCACAGACGTTTGGGTTGAGGTTCAAAACTAACTTCAAGATGTCCAGCCCACAGTCCACGTCTGCGGCCCACAGTCCACGTCTGTGGCCCACAGACTGTGGACTGTGGTTTGTTGTTTGTGACATCAGCGCCCCCTGCCTATCAGAAATAGTCACTGACCTGCATGGGCGAGACGTGGGCGTGGCTGACCAGTCCGTGCACGTTCTCCACCTGGGACAGGTTCTTCTCTGAGACTGTGACCAGTTCTGCTCCTCCCGTCTCCTCCGTCTGTTCCCGAGGAGACGAGTCCTCGTCCTGGTGCCGGTACTTCTGCTGAAAAAAAGAAAAGAAAAGGAGCACTGGTACCAGGAACCACAGACAGTACCAGGAACCACAGACAGTACCAGGAACCACAGACAGTACCAGGAACTCATGCACTGTGGCCAGAGCAGCAGGTCTGGTCCAGAGACCTCCACCTCCTCCTCCTCCTCCTCCTCCTCCTCCTCCTCCTCATTTTACACCAGTCAAAACTTTCAAAATAAAAGTTCATCTCACTGCTGTTTCATTTCTCGTGGCTCGGCTTCAATAAATATTTGACAGTGATCTGCTGACTGGACCACAGCCAATCAGAGTGAAGCTGACTGGACCACAGCCAATCAGAGTGAAGCTGACTGGGTTGTTTTTAGTTCTTCTTGGTTTGTCGTTTCAAATTCAAACTCAGCTTCAAAAACAGAACGTTGGTGAACGAGTACCAGGAACTAGGAATCACACTGACCTTTGACCTCTGACCACCTCAATCACACTGACCTTTGACCCTAGATCACCTGAATCACACTGACCTTTGACCACATTAACAAACTGACCCTTGACCCCAGAGCACCTCAATCACACCGACCTTTGACCCCAGAGCACCTCAATCACACTGACCTTTGACCCCTCACCACCTCAATCACACTGACGTTTGACCCTAGATCACCTGAATCACACTGACCTTTGACCCCTGACTACCTCAATCACACTGACCTTTGACCTCTGACCACCTCAATCGCACTGGCCTTTGACCCTAGATCACCTGAATCACACTGACCTTTGACCACATTAACAAACTGACCCTTGACCCCAGAGCACCTCAATCACACCGACCTTTGACCCCAGACCACCTCAATCACACTGACGTTTGACCCTAGATCACCTGAATCACACTGACCTTTGACCACATTAACAAACTGACCCTTGACCCCAGAGCACCTCAATCACACCGACCTTTGACCCCAGAGCACCTCAATCACACTGACCTTTGACCTCTGGCCACCTCAATCACACTGACCTCTGATCCCTGACCACCTCAATCACACTGACCTTTGACCTCTGACCACCTCAATCGCACTGGCCTTTGACCCTAGATCACCTGAATCACACTGACCTTTGACCCCTGACTACCTCAATCACACTGACCTTTGACCCCTGACTACCTCAATCACACTGACCTTTGACCCCTGACTACCTCAATCACACTGACCTTTGACCTCTGGCCACCTCAATCACACTGACGTTTGACCCTAGATCACCTGAATCACACTGACCTTTGACCTCTGGCCACCTCAATCACACTGACGTTTGACCCTAGATCACCTGAATCACACTGACCTTTGACCCCTGACTACCTCAATCACACTGACCTTTGACCCCTGACTACCTCAATCACACTGACCTTTGACCCCTGACTACCTCAATCACACTGACCTTTGACCTCTGACCACCTCAATCGCACTGGCCTTTGACCCTAGATCACCTGAATCACACTGACCTTTGACCCTAGATCACCTGAATCACACTGACCTTTGACCACATTAACAAACTGACCCTTGACCCCAGAGCACCTCAATCACACCGACCTTTGACCCCAGAGCACCTCAATCACACCGACCTTTGACCCCAGAGCACCTCAATCACACTGACCTTTGACCCCTGACTACCTCAATCACACTGACCTTTGACCACATTAACAAACTGACCCTTGACCCCAGAGCACCTCAATCACACCGACCTTTGACCCCAGAGCACCTCAATCACACCGACCTTTGACCCCAGAGCACCTCAATCACACTGACCTTTGACCACATTAACAAACTGACCCTTGACCCCAGAGCACCTCAATCACACTGACCTTTGACCTCTGGCCACCTCAATCACACTGACGTTTGACCCTAGATCACCTGAATCACACTGACCTTTGACCTCTGACCACCTCAATCGCACTGGCCTTTGACCCTAGATCACCTGAATCACACTGACCTTTGACCCCTGACTACCTCAATCACACTGACCTTTGACCCCTGACTACCTCAATCACACTGACCTTTGACCTCTGGCCACCTCAATCACACTGACCCCTGACCGTTGCTTGGACAAACATGAATCTATCGTCCCATACTTACGTCGTCGTCGTAGCGGTCAGGCGAGTGTCCGACCTGTGCGAGCGTGCGCAGGATTTCATTTAGCAGCTGACAGTCCTAACGAGCTCGTTAGTTTACGGTCAGAGAGAAAGAAAAACAACGACAGCATTTCATGAAGGAGCCACGTTTGAACCCTGATGTTTAAACATTCAACCAATAGAAAGAGCTGCTGAAGCCCCGCCCTTTGAACAATGAGTCACTCTGTCATGACGGGGTCAGAAGGTCAGCAGAGGAACCAGGCACCGATCTGACCTTTTACAAGGGACAAACAGTTCAGTCCTGTTTAGATTAGATTAGATTAAATGTGATGACATTAGATTATGTTATCTTAGACTAGATTAGATGATATTAGATTAGATGAGATTAGATGATATTAGATTAGATTAGATTAGATAAGATTAGATGATATTAGATTATGTTAGATTAGATCAGATTATGTTAGATTAGATTAGATGAGATTAGATTATGTTATCTTAGATTAGATCAGATTATGTTAGATTAGATTAGATGAGATTAGATTAGATTAGCTGCAGTTCCGTTGAGGAATCCAAGGCTCCAGCAGTAAAAAACCAAAACTACAGGAATTCAAACAGTGTTTTGTTTTGTTTTGTTTTGTGAACAGGTTCAAACCAATGAAAATAATTGGCTCCAACAAAAAGATCAACAAGTGAATAAAGAGAATGAATGAAGAGGTCAGTGATTGGTCCTGCTGAGGAGCCCTGATTGGACAACGTTCACTTCACTTCTCACTGACGACTGTTCTTCTTCTCACGGTGATTTACAGAATGTAGAAATAGAAGAAATAGAACAACGCAGGAAACACCAGCGCCACCAGCTGGACTTAGTCGTCCCTGCAGCTCACCTGGTATTTTGAATAACGACGGTACGACAACCGGGGCAGTAGCCCTCCCCCCCCGGGTGTGTGTGGCCTCCTTACCTCAGGGCTGGGGCTCAGGCTGGGTGCAGTCTCCGACGTGGGACTCTGGAAGCCGGACAAATCCCAAAGGTTGACCTGCAACGGAGGCTCCGCCTCGACGGCAGGCTCCGCCCACGTCTGACCGTCCAATAGGGTGACTTCATAAAACTCCTGGATATCTGGACACAGCAGATCAGAGACGACACGCCTGCTTATTTCTGGATGTATAATTCGTAGCAGCCCTGACAGAAATAACTTTGTCTTCTTTGGTTTGGCCCAGCGTCCACCACGAGGTCAGAAGGTCAACGCGAGCCGTCAGTTCAACCAACGGGACGGCGTTCTATTTACAGACGCCGTGATGTGTTAGAGTCACAAGAGGGAAAGACTGAGACTCAGAGACAGGGTCAGGAATCCTGTCTCAGTGGGACATGGACAGAGGGACATGGACAGAGGGACATGGACAGTGGGACATGGACAGGGTTTTTTCCTCGTGTCCTGGGTGAGTTCGTTAACACTGATGAAGAGAAAGTCACATGAGGACAAAGAGGAAGTGAACGTCCATCAGTGCTGCTGAGGATTATGGGTAATAGCAGGTGAATCCCACAGGGATTAGAGCCTGTTCACCCTCCTGTCCACGTCTCTGTTGACAACAAACTGCTTTTACTGTCAGCTGATAAAAGTCTGGACCTGGATGGAAGATTGGAAAGAAAAAAAAAAGGTTCTTTTCTCATCGTTTTAGAAAACTTGTACTTGTACTTTAATACTGATCAGAACTCCTACTGTCAGGTAGAGGTACTGCAGTGATGGGTTTGACCCTGGTGTTCCTGACCTATCAGGATGGAGTCACCAGGAACTGATACTGTGAGGACTAGTGAGACTGACTACTGAGAACCGATCAGAGTCCTTGACCTCAGAGTCGGTCAGAGTCTGGTACTGTAGTGGAACCGACCTGAAAACACAGGACTTCTCTCTGGGTTCTGTGTGTTCCTGACGGGCTGATCTTACCTACGAGAGCCTGGAACAGGCTGCTCTGGAAGATGTCGATGACCTTCTGGATCGAGTGTCGCAGCTGACGGTCTTCAGTCTGGTTCAACCTGGTCCTGTACTCCTCCAGGAGGAGCAAGGCTCGCTGAGCATCTGCACGGACAAAGTGGACAATGGAGGGGGGGGGGCAGGAGGAGGAAAGGGTTAGATCAGGCACGGCCAACCTGTGGCACTAAAATCACTGATTTTCTCCATGGAGTTTGGTCTGAACTAAAATCTCTGATTTTCTCCATGAGGTTTGGTCTGAACTAAAATCTCTGATTTTCTCCATGAGGTTTGGTCTGAACTAAAATCTCTGATTTTCTCCATGGACTGTGGTCTGAACTAAAATCTCTGATTTTCTCCATGAGGTTTGGTCTGAACTAAAATCTCTGATTTTCTCCATGAGGTTTGGTCTGAACTAAAATCTCTGATTTTCTCCATGGACTGTGGTCTGAACTAAAATCTCTGATTTTCTCCACAGATTTTGTCGAGTCGAACACAAACACAAAGTTGTCAGCAGTGAAATTAACCCACACACAGATTATTCTTCAATCATCTATTTATGCCTTTATTCCACTGTTGGACCTTACACCACAATGGCGACAGTGACGTCATGTTGTACTCTTAACACGGAGGGTAAAAGTTAAACAGAAGAAACAGTTTATTCAACCAGCTTCTCCTCAGACCTGTGTCTGACTCTCTGTCACTTTGACACTAAACTTATTCTTAAAAGTGAAAACTGATCATTTTGTATCGTTATCTTGTGCAGTTCTTTATTTCTGCCACTTATCACAATCCAACCTTAACTTTAAATTAGCAACAACGCTAACCGGCAGCTAACACTTTTTCCTACTAACTTTTACAAACCAAACCACACGGCTCCGCTGAACTCTTCTGGCTCCGTTACAGCCGTGTGTGTCGCTCACAGCTCGGACTGTTTGCCAGCGAACGTATCGGTGTTTTCCCGGTGATTGCCCACCTCAAACTCCGACAGAAACACAGCGAGTTTAGCCGCAGTTAGCTTCAATGAAAGCGGCTTACCTTTTCTCCGGACGGGCATCGTCGGCTCTACTTCGGCTGTGGTTCGGCCTCGCCTCGGCAGCTCTCGGCTCCGACTCTGGACTGAGCTCCACACAGGAACCCGCTGTTAAAGCTCTGAACACGGGTTCCACGACGACAGTAAGTTCCCTCTGACAAACAAACTCTGTGTCAGGGGAAAAAAACGACGCGTCCGCCGAAAATAACCCTCCGAGTCTCCGGGGAACCCGCCACCAAAACAAAACACCAAAGTCCAAAAACAGCGGTCCGGGCTGGAAGACAAGACCCTGTTAGGTCCTGATCCGTGGGTTGGTCAGAGCTGCACACACTTTAACGTCCCGGGAGGAGAAGCTAGAGTCCGGGACACCGTTCCAATCCTGCACTGGGGGGTAAGGAGTGTCGGCTCCTCTGCTGCTCAAGCTGGGAACAAGTTCGGAGACTCGACCGGGCGAGCACAACCGAACCAAGGCGAGCTGAGCCGTGGCAGGACTTTTTCCTGCACGGTTCCGGTCAGGTTCCTGCTGTATTCGTGTCAGAGTTCACCCAGAGTAAAACACTCCTGCTCCTCCTCTTCCTACAGTTCGTCGTCTTCCCCCGCCTCCTCCTGCTCCTCCTCCTCAGGTCAACAAACCCCAAACTTTCTTCCAAAATGGCGCCTCGAAGACTTTTAAATGAACCAGGTGATTTTCTCCATGGACTTTGGTCTGAACTAAAATCTCTGATTTTCTCCATGGACTTTGGTCTGAACTAAAATCTCTGATTTTCTCCATGAGGTTTGGTGTGGCAGACAGATAGATGAACTGTAGAAAGATTATTTTTTGTCTAGTTTTTACAGTAATGGATGTAACAGGAAGTGCGGATGCAGCCTGTGATGTCCATGAGTTCAAGCAGATCAAGGCTTTGATGGTGAAGATAAAACGCCCTGCCCCCCCCCTCCTCCCCGCTTTTTAAACAACTCATCTGGTCCAGATAAAAGAGCAGAAGGTCTTTATTCTTAGACCTGATGTTTAATGGATGAAATCATCTCCTCTGGTTTTTAGACCTGATGTTTAATGGATGAAATCGTCTCCTCTGGTTTAACATCTTCATCTTCATCATCATCATCTTCTTTCATTGGTTTCATGTCACTTCAAACTTTTATTTATAGACAATAAGATAAGAGTAATGAATGTAATTAAAATATTCCACATTTGTAGAGTTTGTTTCATTTCTATATTTAAACCATCTGTATGTATTTACATCTTATATTTATTTATCATGAAACACGAACACACACACAGGAACACACACTGGTACCACTGAGGTTCAGACACTGGTGAACTCTGTTTCCAGACTCAACAGTTGTTCTTGTTCTTGTTCTGCAGCGCTTCATTAATGAAGTAAACTCATACGGCTCCCTCTGCTGGACAACAAGCGCAAACGCGTGAGTTCCACAACAACCTCGGTCCACTTTTAGAAACTGGAAAAAAGAACGAGATGTGGGAGTTCACGTTGGTGTTGAACCTTCACCTGAACTCACAAGGTCAGAAGGGAAATGGGAGGAGCCAAACGTCAGAGGAAGAATGAAAGGTAATAATGTCTTTAATGCCTTTAATGTCTAAAAAGAACAAAGGACAGACGTGGAAGTCATCATTTAAGAAGCTGTTGTTGTTTGGACCAGAACACCATCAGAGTCAGGTCGGACGTGGACCCTGAGATCAAAGGTTCTGAGCAGAACTCCTTGACAGCAGTTCCTATGGACGAGGCGGTCAGTGGCCTCAGGGAGGCGCTCTTCAAGGCCATGACAGAGACCACCTCCTTGAAGGCCAGAAGAAGGGAGGAGCCCACAAACAGAAGGAAACAGGCCACCTCCAAACAGCACCTCCTCCGTCGGCCTGTAGATGTCAGTGTCAAGAACAACCGACCACCAGCGTCTTTACTGTCAGAATAGTTTCAGCTAAAATGAATGACTTCCTCTACGTGGTTTACTGTGTGGACAGAATTAACCTGCAAGTCTAAGTGTGGACACTGGGGGCGCTGAAGCCCTGTAGGAGAATGGACTAAACAGGGACGAAGTGTGACAGAAATGAGAAGACAAGTGTCTGAAACAACTCACAAAATAAAAGTCCGGTTTATTGTCAAACAACAAACTCCGCACACAAAAGGCTGATGAGAAAAAAGAAAACAAAAAGGAGAAAATTGGCTCGTTCTTTTGGCCACACCCCCAAAAAACCAATGCCAGTTTGTGTTTATGGTACGGCTAAAGTACAAACAGACTGGAACGTTAACACCTCTGTACAATAATCTGCTGTTTGTGTCCAGATAGAACATGGTCAACCAATCAAAAGCACCCGTTTGGTCTGACGTCACACCGCTGCTGCTGGCCCCGCCCCTTTCCTAACAATATGTACAAAAATATAAAATGTAAATAAAATACAAACTAATTCTGCGTTGGTTGTTGTGATTCCACATGTGCTGCTGAACTTCCTGTTTCCTCTAAGCGTTGGGAGTGTGCACGTGAGTGTGCACGTGAGCCTGAACCTCTGTGTGAGTTGAACTCTACTCTAAAGACCGTGGGGGTTTTCATGTTTTTTGTCGTTTTTGTTGGATCAGTCCTCCTGCGGCTCCACCTGTGACCTGGCTGTAGCAGAGGTGAAGAACAGGAAGTGGGTCAGCAGGACGTCCCAGCGGCGTCCATCAATCGTCGTCGTCGGTTTTCTGCTTCTTGGTTTCCACATCATCCTGTCGGTGGAGAAAACAGCGTTAAAACCCCGTGACACGGCTGGGCTGCTCTCAGCTCATTGGTCCAATGATGTGCAACTGTGACAACAGTACTGCTCTAATAGTTAGCATCAGCTAGCGCCCGCACCTCGTCGTCGTCCTCATCATCGTCCGCTGCCCGCTTCATGCCGCCCTCCGTCTCGTCTTCGTCCTCTTCTTCATCCTCTTCATCACCTGCACAACAACATGTTTAACACTCACGTCCACTGGAGTCACCCTGACTCCCCCACACACACTTTTACAAACCTTCTCCATCATCGTCTTCCTCATCTTCCTCGTCGACCTCCTCCTCATCTTCCTCATCTACCTCGGGCTCTCCGTTTTCCTCCGTCTCCTGAACACAAGTTCACAACAAATGTTGGTGCCGCCATCTGGTGGCCATTGTCTGAATAGCAAACACACGTCGAAACATTGACAGGCGGCGAAAATAAAGAGTGACGTCATCAGCCGTAAATTCTCTGAGGTGGTGACCGGTGTCGTCTTTACCTTCCCGTTGGTGGCAGCATCTTTGCCGTTCTCCTTCTCCTCCAGCAGTTTTTTCTCTTTCAGGTCCTGACAGAAACATCCAGAGTCAGCAGGACGTCCCAGGCAACAACAACAACAACAGCAGTAACAGCAGCAGCAGCAGTAACAGTAACAGCAGCAGTAACAGTAACAGCCTGTCTCCACCGACAGGATGAAACTACTTTGTTTTCACCCCTGCTCTCTGACACCTCCTCCTCCTCCTCCTCCTGTAATCTGATACTTTTTGTGGCGCCCCAGGGCATCCTGGGATTTGGAGTCTTCAGCGGCCGCTGCTACCGCCGTATGTTACCAGACACGCCCGGGAGACGCACTGCAATACCCAGGATGCACCACGCGGGTGTAAAATAACAGACGGGGAGGAGGGAAGTGGGGGGAGGAGGAGGGCAGGGGGAGGTGAAGGGGGGAGCGGAGACGAGAGCGACACACACACACACACACACAGTGCTGCTGGGTCTGTAACGGAGACTGAAGGACAATAGAAGACGACACATGGCGGTGGAGGGAGCTCGACGGACTGGAGTCTGAACAAGTGTCCGAGTCCAGTCACCGTCGACCCGCTGAGCGACCCTCAAACACAGAGCCCGCGCACAAAGACGCGCGCGCGTCAATCCTTCATCACAGCGAATGTTAACGCGGCCGCGAACAAACGTCGTCTGGTCGATCGGGTCTGGTAACTGATCAATTGCGTTGCTGTGACACCGCACAGTTTTAACACACGCACAAGCACACGCACACAAGCACTGGCTCATAAACTTTTGCCCATAATGAGCAGAGGTTCTCTGTCAGAAAACAAACATTGATGAAACAGCAGCGGGGGAAGAGGAAACTAAAACCAAACTCAAAGCCGACTCCAGTGACGCGCGTCGCTCCAGAACTGCGCGGCCGCCGCGTCTGCGGTATCCGAAGACCGGAGCGGGAGCAGCTGCGACCTTCGGCTCGGGAACATATGGAGAAGAATCGTACACGCTGCGTACAAAAACACGAAACTGCCCAGAATTAATCCTGCGAGGCTGCCGCCAACCCGGAGGATGGATCGTGGAGACCGGGGCGCACCGCTCCGTCGCTCCGTGCCACACGGGCTGCTCGGCGTTGACTTGGGATTAATTGCCATCTATTGATTCTGATCTGATTATCTTCCCTTCCATTGTTCGTGTTCCATTTCCAATAACTAATCGGTGCACGAGTAATTACGAGGTGGATGGAAGCGCACGTCGCACGCGTTTACCGGAGCGGTGTCGCCGGCAGCGGCTGCCGCGTCTCCGACCTCCCGCTCTGCTCAGCAGCCGGTGGATGGAGTGATCGGTGGATGTAAACAGAGCTCGGTGGTTGAGATGAGGTAAAGACCCCTCGTTAAAACAGAGATGTCGACCTGGAGGCGATATTTAGACGATACTGTCACTAAGTATCGTTGGGAGAAGTAGATTTTAACAAAGAAGCCGCGTGTGCGGCAGCCGTGGACAATGAGCTGCTGTTGCCGCGGCTGGCTCTCCTCCGCCTCCTTCACGTCCTCCAGATGGAGAAGAGAAGAACCGTCTTTGTCATTCGAACCAGCCTACTCCTAAACCCGCTCCTGCTCCACCGGCTTTGACTGAGCGCGGAGCGACGACGATCATAGTATGTAGGTTTTCGCGGCGGGAGATGGAGAAGACAGGCAGGAGGACAGGAGGAGGTGGGCGGAGGAGCGCCGCGGTCCGCTTACCTTCGCAGAGATGTCGGAACCAGAGTCGACGTGTGTGTCTGCCATTGTTGTTGGAGTTCAAAATAAAGGACGGCTGAAATGAAACGGTTGGAGAGAGTAAATCCAACACTGGCTCCGCTGTTGTTTCTACTGTTATGATGTACCAGTGCAGGACGCCGCTCACCGCCGCCTTTATAAAACAGCAAGCGGGGCGTGGCTCCGAGAAGGTGGGCTGGCTCTGATTGGCTGAGGGCTCTACAGAGGTGTTCTTCGTGGCGCTTAGGAGCAGAACAATGGATTACATTTCTAAGGGTTTAAGCCACGCCCCCTGCCCCCCAACGCAGCGACATGTCCTTTCCTAGCCCGAAACAACGATCCGGACCCGGGCAAACACCATAGAACCGACCCGGAGCTTCAGCACCGGAGGAAGAGTAGGGCGGAGGGGAGGGGGGAAAAGGAGAGGGGAGGGGGGAGTGGGGGAAAGAAGAGGGGAGGGGGAGAGAGGAGAGGGGAGGGAGAGAGGAGAGGAGGGGGAGGGGGCTGGCAGTGGACCAGTTCCTTTTCCTTCCAAACAACCGAATCCCCCGCGCTCGACTTGTCGAACGTCGTTTGGTTTTGACGGATCGTCATCGTCGTCATTGATTGATGTTGGTCGACAAGAGCGGCGTCTCGAGCGGGGACGTGGGGGGCGGGGTAAAAGAAAAATATGACCGATGTACGGGTAGTGTCGGTTGATTGATTGGTTTATTTTTTAATCCATATTTATAGTTCTGGTCTCCCGCCACATAAACCCAGTCGTTTTCAGACATGCAGAGCCGCCATCTTCTCTCTGTTCTCTGTCAATGGCGTCCATGTTGGTGGACACCGATTTGACGGGACTCTCTTTCCATCACATTAATGAGGTCCATGAGGTGCTGTGTGAATATGAGCTGGACGTCGGTGATTATGGTGCCGTGTGGACGGGGCTCATCTCCTCGGGTCTATTGTTCGATCCGCGGAAGTAAAGTGGGGGGCGGGGGAGGGGGTGCTACATGATAAACATGCGTTAATATTAAGTGTGGTCTTCGAAAAATCTAAATAAATGTGCTCGTAACGTGACACGCATTCCAATACCACAAAAGGGCAAAACAGCGATCGTTCTTACCGACGTGGAAACACATACTCGTTAAAAACGAGAACAAAAGCAGCAGGAAACAGAACATAGACCGCCATTAGTGCCTGTTGTTGGGGGATGGGAGCTCAGCGGCCGGACTGACGCTGCACACGTTCACGTTGGGCTCTTTGTGACGCAGGCAACCACAGGGCGGCGTTGATTGGTCTATTGGGAGAACTAAGGCGGTGGTGACCAACGACAACTGCTCATTGGCTGATGTTAACGTCCTTCAATTCAAACAGGGTAGAGGCGTAGAAAAAACACGGACGCGGATTAGCTGGACTGGAGCGGAGTCTGTGGTTCAATAAAGAGAGTGATTTTTACCTGTTGTAGCAGTTACGATGCTAATGTAGATTTAATTAAAAAAACAAAAAAACATGAATGACACGAATGTGTCTGGTAAAAATCAATAAGAATGAATAAAAAGCCAAATCCATGTTTAGTCTGAGTTTGTAGTGTGAATCTATACGTAGTGTAGGGTCCAAAAAAACTGACACCCACGTCAGGTGTCAACACAGTGTCCCACTGAGACCTAGAACGTCCCCTGGTCCAGTGCTGGATGTCCACATGCTGAACCATGTTTAGTGTGAATCCAGTGTGAATCCAATATTGTGACTTTAACCTGGGTCAACACTGATTTAACAACACACTTTGACTTTGTGTTGTTCTTTTATCTCTTTGAGTGGAAATTAATCTTTGTCCTGTCCTCCTCCTGGTTAATTAACGTCCTCACCCTATTGGCTAAAACCAGGACAACAGACCGGACATGAATAACAGGCTGCACAGATAAGAACCTGAGCCCGGTTGAAGGACATCATCAAGCTGTGGAGCGTGGACCAACGTGATGTCAGTAAAGTGGACCGACCGACCGACAGACACGTTTCTCTTCTTCAGCCTCAGGCTGAACTTTTACTAAAGGAATTTTCTGTGAACCAACATGTCCTGAAGAGGACACTCTGCACCTCCTCCTCCTGCACCTCCTCCTCCTCCGCTGCTTCTTCTTTGCTCCTTTTACTACACTGCTGCTCCTCTGCTCCTGGTTAAGCCGTCATTTGTACTGACTCTCTAACGTTACTCTTTATCGACACCCAGTGTTCGTCCTGTGGTACTGCGGCCGACAGCGTCAGCTCATGACACTTGGCTCGTCGCCGTGTCTCAGTGTCGTTCCAAACACTCGTTCTTGTGTGACTTCTTAATCACCTGCTTCACTCTTTTCACTACTATCAAGTCAACAGTAGAATCCGGAGGATTTTGAAGACCTGTGACCCTGGTCTTCAGCCAGTCAACTGTCCCTCCACATTGTCCTCTTGAATCGAAGTCTCCGACTACACTTGTCCTTTTGTTCCGCTTCTTCCTACGTGACCTGAAGGCATCAGCTCTGTGTTGGCTGCAGCTGTGGGGAACTCCCGTCATGCATGAGTAGCTGCAAACATCGTCAGTGATTGTCTTTCGTTTTCCTCCTGTCACTGACGCAGTCGTTCAGGCTGAAACATAAAGAACTGTTGTTTCACGTTTACAACAACACAGACACTGCACAACTATTCACACCACCCAGCAGAGCTCCCCCTGCTGGTAAAGCTGATCAGAGACACTGAACTGTGAGGTTTGTCACAGGGAGGCCGAGTGGTTTCTGTTGATAACAGTTGGATTTGAACTTGCCCCAAGTGCTGCTGGGTATTTGGGGGTCAAGTGTTGGACAGATGTCTCCCTGCAGCCCATTAGTGGTGTTTAATTATTGATGTTTGTAGATGCAGTGTTGTGGTTGGCAGATGGCCACACACACACACACACACACACCTGAGAGTGTGTGTGTGTGTGTGTGATGTTGGAGGGAGTTGTGTTAACGTGACAGTTCCTTCATTAATCTAACGATGTGACAAACTGACACTGACCTGATCACTTCAAACTACAGACACAGTCACAGACCATGCTGTCTGTCAGTCATGTTTCACTCTGAAGTATTTTAAAGGATATTTATACTGGACTGAA